TACTCTCCATCTATGACCGGTGAACATTGTTTCCCCTCAGTTATTCCCCTTTTTACAACCTTATCTAACTTGTGCTCATTTAGATTACGTTTATTTTAGCAATAAATTTTGATTATACAGTGTATGGTTGTTACTGTTGTGTTCTGTTTTTTTTTTACTATTTTTCGGTAGGGTGGGGGGAGGTTTTGTTCATATTACAAAAAAAAGTGTGAATAATTTTTTCTTATCAGTTTCTTATTGTTGATTCTTGCTGTTAATGTCACCTTCTTTTTTTTTCTTGTATGTTGTAATAGACGAATAAGTTTAGTTTTGAAGAGGGGGGGGTAATTTATTCTATCATGCTGTGAATTGTTCATCAGTGTCTCTGTGTGTGTATGGGGGGGACTCATATACACGTGTACATATACATATATATATATATATATATATATATATATATATATGAGTTCGTGAATTACCGGTTTCTTTCAATTATTTATTTATTCAATCATCTACTCATTTAATTAACTAATTATATTAGTAGTATAACCATAATAATGATTATAAATAGTATAGAAAGGAGGATAAATTTTCATTACAATTTTTTTCTAAAAGATTATGCATATTCATAATATTAGTAGTAGATAGCATTATTTCCCATGAAGTGTTGTTTTAACAGAGTACCAGTGTCAAAAAGGAAGCTTTCTTACCTTTTTTTTCACTAACAAATAGTGAGTTGGTACTGAAAAGTGAATTCAGTAGCTAATTAGCTGTGTATAATTGAATACCTTGTGAACATGGGTCATTCAACCAAACAGACTCAGAGTTCAGAATCATTTAAAAGGTGTGCAAAAAATTCACCGAAGACTATAGGCTACTGTCTTCTTGACATTGTCGAAGCTTATATCATACATTTTGAAAAGCTAGAAATGTGTTTACAAAAGAAATCTTTTCACTCTCTTCTTCTATTCATGATCTTAACCTCTAGTTTTCGAAAGATATTACCGTCCTCTTCTCGTGCTCTATTGACATTTTACTCTTAAGCCAATTATTTTGTTTCAGTACCCTTACGAATTATAGTCCATTTTAATTTCAAGATTTTAGTTTACCACTTTAAGCAACTATTTTTCACAATTATTGTTTTTTGTACTAGAATGAGGGTTCGTGGATACGAAAGAGCAGTTTCATTTCAGCATAGAACTATCCAGTTATGAACACCTGTGACCCCACCGGATATTAAGAGTGCGATTTATAGGTCTTATTATGAGGGTCTAAATGGGTCGGGATCGTGGATGTGCATTATCGAAGAGTTCCATGCTGGTATGAAACAGCTCTTCAGAGTTTCCAGGTTTTTAATGGTTGTTCAACTAAGATCTATTCATAATCTCAACAACATCCAATAATCTCTACAAATCCCCATACTGATAACTGTTATGTGCTCACTAGTTACTAACTTCATAAGGACATTTATAGAGTTCCAATGTGAAGGTTCAAGCAAAGGAGTTCAGCTATGTTGGATATATGACAATAATCACCAAGAATATTAGCAAATGGTCATACAACAACACAAATTAATTGAAGTTAGACATGTAAAGCGCTGTATCCTGGCTCACTAATCTAAAAGTCTAGGTTTCTACTTAAGACCTGAAGTTCCTGAATTCAGTTCCAGATTAGGTGATAGATTCTTACTGCTAAGAAGTCCCATACGGGGATTTGTAAGCTATAAACTAAAAATATCAATTCTAAAAAATTCAGAAATTCACACTTCAATGATTCATATTTCACAATCCCAGAGACAAAGACTACGGCTAAATGAGTACTTGTAGTTGATTTTGGTAGGAAAAAACAAAGCTGAAAGTGTTCAGTAATTAACCGGCTTTTACAGATTATTACCAGTATGGGGAATTTGTGGCGATTGTAGTAATTTTGATAGTTGAATTAATGAGTCGATCTAAGCTAGACCACTATTGAAAATTTCAAAGCAGTGGACAGCCAGTTCGTCATAATATGGGACTCCCCACAATTGTACATGCACGATCCCACACCAAAAATACTCAAACTCAAGACCTTCCATCTCACACGCGAACACTTGACCTCTAGACCACTGATCTGGACGGCATCTAACTGTGGTAATGTGTAACTTCATTCGATCCATGACCGTATGCAACCCTTCATTCATTGTCTGAGATAGATAGGTTTCTCCACCCGACAGGGATTGGACTCTACTGGAGACGGTTTCCCACTAAAACTCCAAGAAATCCATCTTGAAGCTGGTCACTAGTGAGCACATGATGATTATTATTATCAGAATGGGGATTTGTAAAGATTATAGTAATACATAATAGGTATATATTTAAATATATGCTTAATTACCAAGAATACCGTATATTGTTATTTATTGAAACAAAATTAAAGAATTTTGACGTCTATTTTTTGTATTTATTCAAGTGAATCACCATGACTATTAACATTAAAATGGTACTTACCATTATTATTACTACTACTACTACTACTACCAATTATAAATAGTATGACTAATACTCATCTGTGTCTTATTAGTAAAAAAAATTTACATTTGTTTTCTTCATTTTCAAAATTTAAGGTGGAACTTAAGACTTAGGGGTGCATAGTGTATTCCAGGAGTAGATGTACAGATTTCTTTTCTTACAAATAACATTTGGTACCACTTCAATAAAGAATTTTTATATATACGTCTAGATATATATATATATATATATATATATTAGTATTACATCAATTATTCAAAGCATAGTCATTATATTTACCACCCCTTACCCCCCCCCAAAAAAAACAACAACAACAGAGAAACGCATTCGACAGACGGTGGCAATAGTATTAATATTAGTACTGGAGGTGGTGAATATAAAAGGGGGTGGGGAGGATTTTAAAAAATGTGAAATAAAAAGGAAAAGAAAGAGAGAGAGAGAGAGAAAAAAAACGATAAAAAGTCAAATTTTTATTTTAGTTTTTTTCCTCATTTTATTTTGCATAAACTCACGTTTTAGTCAATTTCCCAATTGGCAAAAATGTATAAATGTAAATTTTTCTAGTGTTGGAAACCCTTCAGGAAAATAAATAATAATAATAATAATTCTCAGTTCAACAAAAATTCCGTCGAGTCTTAATGCTAACTATCTTCATTTCTCTTTCTCTTTCTCGTTCTCTTGTTTAACTGTCATTCCTTACTAAACTCTTTTTATGCTTCAATATTTTAACTCTTCTTCACTTTGTCTATTTCTCCCCCCTCCCCTACCCCCCAATTTAAAATCATAATCTGTGAACTAAAATAAACTATTTTAAATATTCCCTATTTATGCATAATACATGAGACATTTCTATAGAAGATGATGATGATGATGATGATGATGATGATGATGATGATGATGATGATGATGATGATGATGATGATGATAATGATGAAAACTATCTCTATTTCACTTATTTTCTAAAGCACATTACCATGTTATACAGTATATAGGAAACATTGAAATGTAAAAATGGTAACATCTTCACTCTATAATGAGTATTCATGCGTTACACATACATTATGCATGCATGCATGGATGGATGTATGAAAGTACATCCAAAAAAAAAGAAAGACTTAGCATAAATTGACATGTCTTGTATGCTTACTTGTATATGTGTGTATGTGTCTGTGTGTAGAGTTATCTTTACTTTTTGTCTCAGTAACACAGATTTGTCAATCAATGGGATTTATTCGATAAAATGAATTTTATATAAAATAGAGAACATCATGTTTTAAACAGACAGAATAATATGTCTTGTTAAATGTGGTTAACAGTATAGAATTGTGGAGATTGTTGAGTTTTTAAATGAGATCATGAATAGATCAATTTTAGACAATCTTCACAATCCTATACTGATAATTATTATGTGCTCATTAATAATTAGATCCGAGATGAACTTCATAGAGTTTTAGTGAAAAGCTGTAACCAGTGGAGTTTAACCATGTCTAGTGTGAAGCAGTTATTCACTGAAGATAATGGTGAACGATTGCACAATATCGTGGATTGGTTGAAGTTAGACATTAACACAACTAGATACTATCGAGCTCAGGGGTCTAGAAGTTCAGCGTTCACGTGCGAGACAGAAGGTACTGGGTTTGAGTCTCTTTGGTGTAAGATCGTGGATCTGTACCAGTGAGTAGTCCCATACTAGGACAAATCGGCCATCCAGTGCTTCCAGGTTTTCAATTATGGTCTAACATTGTTCCATTCATGATCTCAATATTTCGTTTTGACAAATAATTATTTAAAAATTAATTGATTTTAAGAATATATTCTGTACAGTACAATGTGGTTTGAAGATGATGATCACATAGATTTTGAAACAATCTTTTTATTTAAAACAGTTTACAGACTAGTTGATTTCTTTCTATTTGGTTCGGATGGAATTAGATGGAAAACAACTGAACTTAAATGTCGCACAGGTTGTAATTCGAATCATAAATGGTTTATCAGTTACTTCAAAATTGTAAGCATGTTTTGGTGGCATGTGCCAGTTGACAAGAACACCAAGGTTTAGTACTTGCTAATGGTTATTTCCAACCATCCATTAGATGGAATTAGATAAGTAGTAATGGCAAGACAATCGTAGTATCCTTCACTACTCATCCACAATCATTGGGCTGATAAAAGGTAGATATATTCTAAATACATGATAGTCAAACTGTAATAAATGCAAATAAGTATCATAGGTTCCCGTAAACTGATTTCTTTTAATGTAATGAAGATCTGAACTAAGAAATCTATATTTTGGGACTTTGAATCATTAGTCTATAGGTAGATGTTTAACCAGAAGTTCTTAGTAGTCTTAGATTTTTATTCATAACCTAGTAAAGGTAAGAACAAATAATGATTTTCATAGAAGGAATTAACGCCTGTTTAGTATTTCTTGATTTTCCAACTAGAATCGTCCAATATTATAGACTATCTTCAAACAAGAATATTACTATTGATAATCATCAAATGAAGACTTACCACCATCAATAGAGTCTGTTCGACGAATACGACGTCCATGTTTTGAATTATTATGCACAAACATATTATCTGATATACAGAGTAGTTTGCGTTCAATTGCATGAGTTGATGATATTGCAACCTTCATAGGAAATGTAATAAAAAACAAGGTAACAGATGCAGTTATACACCTTTTCTTTATTTCTGATTGTCAATAGCCAACAATTTAGTCTGAGTAAAAAAGAAACTTAACATCAAATAAAATGATGTTCACTTGTTTGTTTAAATTGACTAATTAGGTGTTAACCGGATAACGTGTCGACTCGTTCTTTATATTAAAAAAGTTTGTCACGAGATTCTAGCGAGATAATCACCATAGTGATCAGTATTCTCTACTTTTCATTTGCATTTTTGGTTATAAAAAAACAACAAAAGTTTACGATGGGATTCATGCGTTGAAATCAATCAATACTGAACAACAAGAATGTCACAGTAACAGATCTAGTCGAAAACGTACATGTTCTCCACATTCACAGTCACATTTGTCCGGGTCTTGTACAAATATGATTTTCTATTTTATGGTACGATGTGGTCAGTTTGATTGGTATATAACCCAGTATGTTTGAAATACAATGATTCATATTGCAAAGGCTGTTATTGATGTTTTGGACTTAACTGGCTGGACCGATTAGTACTCAAGGCTGCTCATACGGCTTTTGTGTATCATTGGGCGATCGATAAATTCACTCCTCTCTGATAGGCGACATCGTCACGTCATATACTAACTGCGCATACAGGCAGACTACAAGTTATAACAATTAGCGTTCTCAAGATATAAAATATGCCAAAATAAATTCACTTAGTATTATTTATTTGAATCTTCCCATTGATGTTTAGCACTGCAACTGGTAAGTCTCTAATTGGAATATGTGCATACTGTGTGTATTGCCTCGATATAGCCTTAATTCACAAGCATTATAAGCAAAGATGGATAGTGTCTAGCACTGGAATCCAGGACGCTCGTTTCATCCTATTTGGGACTCGTCAGCTAGATGTACCTGCATCTCAGAGTTGATGTTCACTCTGAGTGGATGACGCGATGACGTTTGAAGCGAAAGGTACTGGGTTCAAGTCCCAGAGTGAACATCAACTCTGAGATGCCTGTACATCCAGCTGACGAGTCCCAAATAGGACGAAATGCACGCCCTGGATCCCACTGCTAGCCACTATCCATCTTTGCTCATAAATACCAAAATAGTTTTAAAAATAAATAAATTAGTAAATAAATATTTATTTGTATTTTTACTCACTATTCACTGTGAATAGTCACTTATGTGTTGTAACGTTTTCATTTGAAATGAAAAATTGTTATTTATTCCAATTTTTCATTCAACTAACTTGTTGACAATTGGAACAATTTGGTCTCGGTTTCTACTGAAAAGTTTTTTTTCTTTTTTTGGGGGGTATTGGCTGATATAAATAAACATTCATAGTGTTTATATCACGAATTGACTTTATTGGGAACTACTATATACTAGATCATTGTTTTATGTTAGTATGGAAGTTTGTTAGATAGAGTTTACTAAAAAGCCCATTAGGAATTGAATTTAATAAGAATGTTTAAATTAAATGGTAACATTTTTAGATACTACTTAAAGTAACACTTGTCTAACTGATATAAACTTGACATTAAAATATCTTCTAACAAACCTCATAAAAAATAAAAATTATGCCCTAACAATACCAGTTTCAAATTCACTTGCTGTTGTTTACTTGTATCTTCCCATTGTTATTTAGGAATGCAATTGATCAGTCTCTTTGTTGGCATATGTGCATCCTGTGAAGACTGTGAAGTCACAAACTTTATGAGCAAATATGGACTCAAACCCAGTACCGTTCGCTTCAAACGCTATCGCGTCATCCACTTAGTCTCAGAGTGAACATCAACTCTGAGAAACCTGTACATTCGGCTGACGAGTCCTAAATAGGATGAAACGCGCGTCATGGATTCCACGATTTAGTTAGATTTTTCAGATAACATAAATTCATTAATGAACTTACTTGAAATCGGCGCATATCACGTGGATTACCAGCATTTTTTAAACAGTTCTGATTACATTTCATAAAGAATTTAAGAAAATGTCTAAAACATAATACAAGAAAGAAAAAATGGAAATGTTACAATAAATTTCGTTAACAAATACTTATTTTAATAGTTAAGATTATGAGTTAATTGAAGCTAGATCACCATGAAAAACCTGGAAGCAATGGACGACCGTTTCGTCTTATTGTGGGACTTCTCAGCAGTGCGCATCTGCGATTCCGCCTCATGAGATTCGAACTCGGGACCTATCAGTCTCGCGTTCGAGCGCTTAATCTATAGAATCACTGAGCCGGCATCCAATACTTAGTTCCTTATAAATTACTTATTGAAGATAGAAATGACAGTTCAAAACTGATGAGATAACTTAAACTTAAAGCTAAGGCTAGAATGATCTACTGTTAAATAAACTTTCAGTCAACGTTAAAATTCATTTAGTCATATGATGTAATATATTATGCATAAAGCTTTAGTTATTATGTAAACACTGTTGTGGTCTAGGCCTTTTTTGAATTACAGTCATTTACCTTAAGGGAAGTAATCAATTTAGGAACATAAACTATCTCAAATAGTTATATCACTGCTAATCGGTTAGTCCTCATCAATGTAGAGCCTAGTCTTAATACATGTTATCCAAAGTGGCCATATAATATGGATTTTTATTTTGAACAAAATAATATCAAATGCTGTTAAATGGATGAAGACAATTGTTACTTCCTGATTATCCACATGTTTGAATGATACTTCTTCTTGGAGCATCTCAGTAGGGAACTGATTTTAGGATGGTGGTGATGACTAGGGATTGTGATTACAGTGTCCAAGTGGCTAATGTTTGACGTTTTTCACACATAGACTCTTTGTGAGTAGTTTCACGTGAGTTAGCCACATACTTCTGAAGCCTTACCACCTATCACAAAACGCGTGCTGTTTTTATGGCCGGTGTAGTTTTTACCATCTTTCGTAATGAGAAAGCCACATTTCTGCAGATGCTAGTTGTCTGACGCACATACTACCCAGTACAGTCAACAATACAACTTCACCCTTTCTGTTTTTGGTCTCTTCATTCTCTAATAAACCTGTCTGACTTGGTAAGACATAAACAAACAAATCTCTCCAATATAACTTGATTAGATCATTATAATATACAAGGCTAACCATCACATTAAGTTAACAGTTAAACTCGAGTATTCATTTGCTTATTCTATTCATTTTAACCCTACTTATTACCAAATTTTTACTCCCTAATTCAAAATCAATTTATCTATAAATAAATAACATCAGGGTGTCTTATCCCCCCCTTTCCCCCTCCCTACCTCCCCTTGCCCTCTAACAAAAACTTTTTTCTCGTTTCACACAAATGTAATTAAATGAAATTTACATAAATTTATAAATATATACAAATTTTCTTTTTCGAAAAACCATTTGTACAAACTTATATTGTTTATTCTAAATGAGTCTTCCGAATGAAAAATCCATAAAAAAACATGTGGAATGAAAAAGAAAAAAAAAGAAAAAAACCAGAAAAAAAGAGAGAAAATATCAAATTAGACTAAATTTTGTTGATAATCAAATATTGTATATCATATCTGTTTATATTACAGTCACGTGTATGATATTACTACTACTCATACTACTACTACTACTACTACTATTACTATTACTACTACTACTAAGACCACGAACCACATATAATTGCTTTAGATGGTAGTTGTTTGATTATTCTTCGAAATAAATTCTAACTTCAAGTTCCCCCTTACCCCACCCCACCCCACCCCTTAAGTTTAGTTTGCACTTCCATACTGTTTTTTTTAAATTATTATTTTGAATCTTGTTTAAATGAACCAAATTGCATGCGTTCTGTAATAAACATTTGAAAAAGAAATGAACTATTGTCTGTAATAATTAACATGATATATATTACTGAAATGAATAGAATCATTTATATATATAAATGTAATTGTATATTATTTAAGTTTAATATATCTGTGTATTTGGATGGAGTTTTGGTCTCTGAACTGGATGGTTTTTCTGTTCCAGCTATAGTTTATTATGTGTATTACTTACTTACTTACTTAAGCCTGTTGCCCCGCTTCCCTTCCAGATTCCAAGTTAGGGCTTGCCTCGTGATGCAGTTTGGTGATTTCCTCAATGTATGTCTTACCCACTTCCAACGTCTTTTCCTAATTTACTCTTCAGTTGGAAGTAGATTTATTCTCTCCCATAAAACGCTGTTGCTGATAGTATCAGGCTCCTAGACCACTGAGCTGAAGCTAAGTATTTGCATGTGAGACCGAAGGTGGGATCGTGGATGTACACTGCTGAGGACTAGACTTAGTGGCTAAATATCGTAGTGAAGTTTTCATGTTTTTCAAAGAAAGCTTTCAATCTACTGTTCACTTTTAAATGAAGTGGGTGCTGATGAATTTATCCAAAATGATAATAAAACACCGCAATTCAACCATCCAATCCATCGAACATATCACCAAAACGTTTCTTAATGTCTTGGTACTAACATGACATAGCATAGACAACTGTTCAATCGTTTATTCCTATGGGGAATTCATTTTATTTTGATGATGTTCAATCAAAACATTCCTGAAAATTAGTAATGTGAGTTATAATCCAATAAAGTACTACATTTTGGATAAACCTTCCTAGCGAATGGTTAGCAGAGATGGATAGTGGCTAGCAGTGGAATCTAGGACGCGCGTTTCGAGCTATTTGGGACTCGTCAGCTGGATGTACCTGCATCTCAGAGTTGATGTTCACTCTGAGTGGATGACGCGATGGCGTTTGAAGCGAGGGTACTGGGTTCAAGTCCCAGAGTGAACATCAACTCTGAGATGCCTGTACATCCAGCTGACGTGTCCCAAATAGGACGAAACGCGCGTCCTGGATTCCACTGCTAGCCACTATCCATCCCTGCTAACCATGCTTGTGAACTAAGCTATATCGAGGCAATACGCACAGTATGCACATATTCCAATTGGAGACTGACCAGTTGCAGTCCTAGCAAATCGATGGGAAGATTCAAACAAACAATACTAAGTTGAATTAAAACTTCCCAACGAATGTTGATTAGAGTAAAACTTTGCTCTAATGCTTCATATTAATTGTTTTCATATATTTAACATATTGGAAGGGATTATGTATAAGTAAGTAGATTAATATTGATGATCAAACACTAGACAACTATTTGACAAATATATTTTGAGCTTGTTTACAATTGATTGATCATTGGGTATTGATCAATGTCATGTGTATCGGGTCCCTTTTAGTGTAAATTAAATTCTATCAATCAAGTTGCGATGTGACCACTAATCTGTACTAAGAAGAACATAACATACAGAACATTAGTTACTACCTAGTAATTAATTAATTGTAAATACATCTCAGTTCTACAGGAGGTCAGTCGCGGCCTGGATAGCTCAATGGTTATATTTCTGATAGTGAAGCTGACTGATGGGATCGAATTAGTTAGGGAGCATCAGTTCCCTTAGAATACAGGTACACCTTACTGACGAGTACCATGTAGCACCAAACATAGCTCTAGGGTATCCTGTAGACTACTTCCAACCACCATCTTATATTCTGTGTTATTTAATAGGGTAAATATGAGAACCTTCTGGAAGTATAATTAATTAAATTATAAAGCCATTATTATTATCATTATTACTGCTATTATTATTAATGTTACAATACTATTACATTGAATAGCCTCACCAACTGATTTATATTAATTTCAGATCGTATCTATATATATTCCACTTATAATTCGAGAATTAAAAGAGGTAAAATGGTTTTTATTGGTTGTCTAATTAAAGTCAGTCGGTGTTATAAACTATGAAATCATATCCAAGAAGCCTCTCTATAGTAATAATAATCATTTGTGCACTAGTGGCTGACTTCATGAGATAATTTTAATAGTCTTTGAATAGTACAGTTCAACCGTGTCGGATGGAAATCAGTTACCTATTAAATGTTATTTGAACTTACTTACTTACTTATACCTGTTACCCCTCGTGGAGGAGCATAGGCCGCCCACCAGTTGTGGTTAGCGTTTTTTCAGTGAGTTAGTTTTCTACGGAATGGGATCGCTAACCCCATGCCCAACCCTCCTCCTTTACCTGGGCTTGGGACCGGCAGTAACTCTATAAGAGCTACAAGCGGAGTTATTTGAAGACAATTATATAATGTCCCGAATTGATTGAAGGTAGGCATGCAAACTATCAGATATCTAAGAGTTAAACACCCATTATGAGATGTGAATATCCTGTATATGACTCATGGTACAGTCATAAATTCTTACTACTAACAAGTACCATATTAAGACGAAACAGATGTCCAATGCTTTTAGGTTATTAATGATTGTCTAATCAGAATCAGTTCTCCATGCACATTACATTGTAGTAGTACAGTTCTGTTCAATCTACTATTTTTCAAATATTTCTACAGAATGATCTATTTTTAACTGAATATAAGTAGTATTATTTTATTCAACTATCTTATCCGAAGAACTTACTTTTTTTTCCTATTTTAAAGTGAAAAAATTATATTCTATGAAGTTCATTAGTTGAACTAATGTAAAACAAAATCCCTTCTGAAAATAATCATATGCTCACTAGTGACTGACTTTAAGAGATGTTTCCTTGAGTTCTTATGGGATGCAGTAACCACTGGAGTTCAAACCACGTCTGTTGTGAGAAATCAACTCACTGAAGACAATTTGGTGAACAGTTGCTCAAACTTCGTGGATTGGTTGAAGTTAGACATTAACACCGTTGGATGCCAACCAGATTAATGGTCTATCGGTTAAGTGCTTTGGCGGGAGACTGATAGATCCTGGGTTCGAATCTCGCGAGTGCGGTATCGTGAATGCGTACTTCTGAGGAGTCCCATAATAGGACGAAACGGCCGTCCAGTGCTTCCAGGTTTTCCATGGTAGTCTCGCTTCAATTGACTCATGTTTTCAACTATAAGAATACTGAAATCTCCACAATACCCCTTCTGATTACAATGTAAATTTATCGTAAAATACCTTA